TCTTGTTTCATAATTGTTGAGCCTACTTCCATTTCGAGTGAAAGTGTTGTGTGAAGAGATTCGAAGGTCGGTTCCACCAGAAGACGACGGCGAATTCCTCTTGACCAACTGTTGATTGACCTTATGCAACATTCATGCTGAGGCTGTTGCCGAGGCAATCTTCTTTGATTCCGGTGAAAGGGTGCTAAGCTTTTGTCCGTCATATGACGAACATCATCAGAGCAAGGTATCATCATCACAACGAGTCAATAAGTTGTCTTGACAGCTGGTCAAGAGGAATCCACCATCGCATTCTGGTGGAATCGACCTTCGAGTCTCTTCACGCAACACTTTCACTCGAAATGGAAGTAAGCTCAACAATTATGAAGCAAGAGATTCCTCAAAACCAACTTTTCTTCGCATATCAAACGAGTAAGTTTGCTGATTATGGTACGTCTGTGGTTAAAAGAAAGATGAGAGAGGCTATTGAAATAAATAGTTTACGAAATACGTTGAATATGAGGAATGTTGGTAGAAAGTTGAGTAGGAATTACGTACGCTTGATTGATAGATTGAAAAAGAGTGAGAGGGTGTTGAGCCGCCGTCCAAAAGAAGGCGACTCAACTGGTCTGCACTCACACTCGTCTAACATGTTGGATTAAGCTCATCAACCAAACCAGACCTTTCCTTGGAGGGTTAAACGTTAATGACCCTAAACTGAGAGGTTAGGAAAAGTGGTTTCTTAACCTGACTTACATGCTTACAAGCTCATATCTCATCATCCCAACTATACTCACTTACGGACTAACGCAGTCTCGGTTATGATTTTTCTTGTGTCATTAAGTCTTGATGTCCAGAGCCTAAAATTAGCCTTTTTATCGCTGATTTAAGACCTGTATTGCGTATAGACGTTAATACACAAACACACACACACACACACACACACACACACACACACATACGAGTAGAAGTGTCAAAACCAATATTAAACAAAATTAGCCAAATCATTTTTATTTTGAGTTCTGAGTGTATATAAGAGGTAAGCTCGATGTATAAGATTTGTTCACTCTATTTTGTTTAAGGTGATACAGGAATGGTAGTTTACTTGTCCCACAATCACATGAGTACGTCTCATGGTTCCATTGAATTTCACATAGCCTTGCTTTCCAGACAGGATTCGACTGCAGTTTTGCCCTGGTCTATGCTTTCTTAGCAACACCGATACGACTCGAACTATGCCAATGCGGCGTATAAGCCCAACAAGATAACCACTACACCACATGGCCATGAATCTCGAAAACCCACTAAAACCGAGGAAATATGTATGATAGAGCCGGACAGCCTTCTTGACTTGGTGTATGATAACATAAAACTTTCACCAGAAGGAGTTCCAGCTCTGATGAGTTCCATCATATTTTGGACGAAAACTCAGCCAGTTTTCGTGTGGACTGCGGTACTTTAAAGGTCGAATTAAAACCGAAGCGCTGCAGCACAGTCGGAATCGGCCGTCGTCTTCTGGTGGGATAAACCATCGGATCACACTTTCGTGCACTTTTATGTAAAATGAAAATATCCTCAACAATGTTATTTGAGGAGAATTCATCAAAAACTAGTCAATCTTCGTATCTAGAATAT